TGGTGGCTCAGCTGCCTCCCATCTGACAGGCTTTCTGTTGGTGCACTAGGCTTTCCATCCACACAGAGGTTCTGTGTTTGCATAGAGGAGAAATCTTAGAAAGCATAGATAGAGGCATGTTTTAGACAATAGTGATGCTGATAAAAGTGTCAGTTGGCTATTGAAGCCCAGGCATCCCCTGGGCATCCCCTGTCTTGTGATTAAATGATGACCTGCAGAGTCTGGCATGGCTGCCTTGTGTAGTTTGCCCTCCCCTCTTGCATAAGCTCTACAGTTTATCCAGTGAGTTAGTACTTGAACAGCCACACAGCCTGTTGGGCCACAGCAGGAGTCCCTGTACTCCATCTGGCAGGCAGAGGTTGCTGTGGACAGGAAGTTTGTATCAGTGGGCAGCCTCATTATTTGGGTTGGTTTTCCTGCTTTTCTTTCCTTAATGGAGGTGGTATACTTAAGACACTTCTTTCTTGGCTTGTGGCCTTTCTGCCACTGAAGCTGTCTGAGTGGAGTTTTTTCTTTAGCACCATATCGAACTGTCCCAGATCTTAGCAGCTCGAGGACCTGCCTCCCTTCTGGCTGGGGCAGCTCTGTTTCTGGCTGCTGGCACTGGGGTTGGCTCCTGACTCCTAGGTAGGGTCCGGTTCTGCTCCTCATGTTCCTTGGGCCAGCAGCAGTGGGACTCTCCTAATCACCACTGTGCCCTTCTAAGGTACTGTGTGCTTCTAAGAACTTTTCTGCCAAAGCTGGTTAACTCAGTCCTGAGTCAGTGTGGGTGGGCATTGTTCAGAGGTGTGGTCGGAGAAAGGAATATTGCATGGAATTTTTACAAACCACAAGACAGAAGGAGGGCAGAGGCCTGGGCAGTTGTTGGAGCCCAATGTCAGAATCATGCTGTCCACTAAGTAATGATGAATCACTAATGATTTTCATTCTTGACAACACTTTCTGTCTTGTGTCTGGTTAGTTTATTACACTGTAATTTCCCATTTTCTTATTCAGGGTTCTAAATGATTGCTTTATTAAGTTGTCACATCTGCCTTTTAATTCTTCACTGATCCCTTTTCCAGTCTTCAGCCTGTGATTTTGATTCTCAGGGAATTTGATTGAGATAGAAGGTGACACCCACTTTGGCTGTTAAGTGTTCAGAGTTGGGAGGGATAGGATGCTGGGGATCATTATCTCCCAGGCAGGAGGAGCTGAACACAAGTTCCTCCTCTTCCTCTTGACATCTTGGTCTTGAGTGTGAGGAAGACTTTCCTATCTCCTGAGGGCTTCCTAAGAGCTGCAGAAGCAAGTTTTGGTGGGGCTGTGTTAGGTGCTTTCTAATTAAAAAGAAGCAGAAGTACTATTGGAAGGGATTATGTGTGGAAGGAAATAAAGCGATAATCCCACCCATGTCATGGGTATGTTTGTTGGCAGTGTTTAGGGTTGTGTTGGGATTAAGTGTAGTTTAGTCCAGGACAATCTCATTAATTATATGAATTTCTGAGTCATCAAATTTTATAGCTTCATAGGTAGATGAGGCTGTTATTTATACCTGATGGTCTTTGCTGAGTAATTGCAGAAAACAACATTTACATGGTGTGTACCTTGCACGTGCTCATTTTATCATTCCAGCAGCCCTGTGATGGAGGAACCTTTGTCAGCTCCATTTTCCAGGTGAAATCCTGGAGTGCTTTCACTAGCTTGTCCATGGCCCTGTGGCTCCTGAACTTGGACCTGGACAGTTTGCCTCAAAGGTTTGTCCCTCAGCCTTTGTTGCTGCTTTTCACGTAGATGTGGAGAATTGTCCCTGAGAGATCTGATGGACAAAGGAGTGAGAGAGGGTGGTTTGATCTGGTACAGAGAACATTATTATTAGGTATAATGGGAAAAGAATACAAAGTTTACTGGCTGTTGATAATGAGGGAAAATGAATAATTAAACATTTCTTTAAAAATTTGGGAATGAACCAGGCATGGTGATACACACCTGTATAATCACAGCACTCTGAAGGCTGAGACAGGAGGATTGTTGTAGGTCAAAGGTCAGGCTGGGCTATAGAGTCAGTTCAAGACCAGTCTGAACTACCTAGCAAGAGCCATTTCAAAACAAGCAAACAACCGGCAAAAAGCAACAAAAAAATGGAAATGAATTCCAGCACGGTGGCACTTGCCTACAATACTATCATTTTGAGAGGTTGAGGCAGGAGGATCCTAAGTTTGAGTCCACTGTGGGCATCTCAGTGCCTTAGTGAGATTGTGTCTCAGAATGCAAAACGAAAAGGGCCAGGGGTGCAACTCTGTGTAAGGGCCCGGAGTTCTGTCCCCAGCACTGAAGAAAAAAACAATGGAAATGACTTATAGTGCTGCTCAGAAACAGCACTATAATCACAGCACTATGTTTCTGTGATTCACGTGATGTTTGAGTTCTGTGGTGATAGTAGGGCAGCATGCTGGGGTCTCTGCCAGATACTGAGAACCCAGGAACCTGCCACTGAAGCTGTCTGAGTGGAGTTTTTGTCTTTCTCCTGGACGTGTCCCCTCCCCAGCCCTCCCTGGCCACGTGAGGCTGTGGGAACTCACCTGCCTCCTGTCTCCCTGCCTTCTCTCCCCTGGCTTCTCCCTCTGCTCCTTTCTCTCTGACTTTCCTTGTCATCCCCAAGGGAATGACGCATTTAGCTAAAGTTTCTGATCCCATCTCTGGAGTTGATTTGTCCCCATTTGCCTTGGTGTGGCTCTGGGTTTGGCTCAGAAGCCTCAGCTAGCTGGCTATGTCCCTCAAACAGGCCCTGTGGCCCTGGCCCTGGGGATTCTTTCTCTTGAGCACACCTGACCCATGTGAGGTAAAGAAAGCTGGATGCATGGCCTTGTATTCCTGCCTCCCTGCATGGCTGTCCCATCCTTGTCTTGAGCGAGCATGGGCTCAGCCACGTGGCCCTAGCATTGCTTGTCTGTTCTCTGCTGCACCCTGGCTGCCGTCAGGTCTTCTTCCCTTGGCGTTTCTTAGCACTTGGCACTGTGCTTATTGGCAAAAAGTGTGGAATGAGTGGGCCAGGAGTGTTTCTGAAGGAAGTTGGTGGTTACAGCCTCTACTCTAGCAAAGCCTTCTGCTCCGTCTTTATTTTTTGAAGTTTGCTTTGCTAAAAATCAGGCTTTTGAACTTTGGCTCATTTTTGTAGAGTGCTAGATTCTATTGCCTGTGGTTGACTTCCCCAAGACTTATGCGTAACCTGTAAATACTCTTCTGAAGAGTTTTTGGAGAAACAGACAACCAAGAATGATTCTAGATTTTGAAGTAGTGCTGTGAGGCATTGACATTTATTCTGTCTTCATTTAACACATAGATGTTGAGCACTTTCTAGAAATGAGGCTCTCTGTTCCTGAGCTGGAGATGCTGGTGTGAATGAAGCAGATGGGGCTGCTCCCTCCAGCAGTTTTTCCCCTGGTGGGGATGCCGAACAGGAGGAAGAGCATGAATAAACGGTGCTCCAGTCAGCTGAATACCGTGGAGGGTGCAGGAAGTCAGACTTGTAGGTACAAGGAGCCTGCTTCCCTGCTGACCTGCCCCACACTACACAGTGTTGCCTTGAATACTGGTGAGGTGCTAGGAACCAGACCCAGGGCCTGAGGCATGCTGGAGCCACACCTGCAGCTGGGCAAGTGCTGTCTGTCCTGCTGCACGTGCCTCACCCTCGGGAAGGTGTTGAGTGGCTGCGGAGAAGGTGACGGGGCACTGAAGGGAGACCTTTGAGTGGATGAGTAGGAGGTGGCTGGGTTTGGTGTGTTTCTGGCAGAGATAATGGGGTTAGCAGTGGGTGGAATAACAGTTGGCACTGAAATTAAACGTACAAAACCTCAGAACTGGCAGGTTCTGCGTAAGGGCCCCACGGAGTCCTTGGGAGAAAGGTGTAGTGCATAAGACTTCTGATATCCGTGCAGTCAATAATGCCACATTCATCGTCTCCTGCCTTTACACAGGTAGATTTGTGGGCATCAGGATTTTTTACTGCTCTGTGCTCAGCTTTATTTGGGTGCAATAAATATAACATGAATTTGGTGTCTCATGTGACTTTATAAAAACTTCTTTGCATTATTTCACAGAACTGGACAGATTTTTGCCTGAAAGACCCTTCTATGGTAACCAAGGATGCTTTTGAACCATCTATATTATAGAATTTGAACATAGTAATGGATATACTCACATGTATGTACTATTTTAGAACTACACAAGCAGATTATTTTGTTACAGATTGAAGAGCAACACATTTTTTTAGTAACGTTTAGAATTTTAAAGAAGATATTTTTAATTTTCCTCCCATGACTATTATATTTTTCCAAAACATTGATGCTTTGTCAAAACTCTGTAAATGGCATAGCCAACCATGTTAGCTGGGAAAATGTACAAACATGCGTCGTCAGCAGTGGAAACTACTCTGATCCCTGAAGTTGTGAGGTTTGCGTGAGCTACCAGGGCATGGGTAGGAGTAGTTGTGTTGCTGCTCTCAGTGGCACTGGTGCTGGCCCAGGTTCCCTGCAGTCCTGGTCTCAGTACAGCTGTCTGATGCAACAGGGACAACTCTGGGAACCTGTGGCAGGCTCCCTGAGGTCCGAGCAGGAGCAGGTGAGCAGGGGCAGATCATCTGAAGCTAGACGGAAGGAGCCATGGGACCTAGTGGACGTGGCTCGGTAGATGTGGTGGGAATGCATGTGTGGTTGTTGAAACTGCGCCCCCTTTTTATACTCAGGGAGTTGTATGGTGGGGAGTGGTGAGAGATGAGTTTGCGGAGGACAGCGTGGTACCCCAGGTATAGCTCAAAACCCTTCCTAGGGTGTTTTACAATGGGCTATTTTCTCTCTCTCTCTTTTTTTTTTTTATCGGTACTGGGGATCGAACCCACGACCACACATTTGCAAGGCAGGTGCTTATGCCGCTGAGCTAAATCTCCAGCCCCAATTTTCTCTCATTTCTGAAAAGGGTGCCTCTAAATTCTAATTGTGTAAATGGAAACTTTTTCTTTTCAGATAATGTGGATGCAAATGACCTTAAGCCATTTTTCGAGACCCACTATTCTCAGATATATTTCATCTTCTATGAAAATTTTATAGCACTGGAAAATAATTTAAAATTAAAAGGTAAGCATTTTTACAATTTTTAAAAAACATTCAGGTTATTTTGAAAGTTCTGTGCATCATGAATCACAAATTTTGCATTGTTCAGTTTGCTTTCTCCTAGGCCTTTAGCAAAGCTGAGGTTGCAGGGAACTGCTTGGTTTGTTTCCCTTGAGCTTTTGCGTGTACAGGTGTAAACTGAATAATAAATGGCTAATGGGAAAATAGGAGATTGCAGAAGGCATAAGTTCTAGAGGAATGATTCACTTAGAAATAATCAGTGTACACTATTAAAAAGCTAAAGTGCCATTAACATATTCACGATGGGGCTATGATTCATATGTCTCACTGCCCATTGGTTGTCCCATTGGGTAGCATGGGATAGTCCCGTGGGAGGTAAAAGCTGCCAGATGGGAGGTATATGTCCCACTGGTAGTTCAAGCCTGCCAATCTGTGTTAAAAGGAGAGGAAAACTAAAATACTACTCTGCCCAGACCTCCAGTCCTACTTTGCAGAGGCAGCTAATCTAATAGAGCTTCTTTGCTTTCCTTCCCTATGTATTCTGCATTACATCCATTCATGCTTGTGTCCATATATAGAATATTCTTTAAGAATATTCTAACATGCGTCAGCAGTGGAAGCTACTCTGATCCCTGGAGTTGCTCCTTCCCAGGTCCTGGTTGGTTCAGGCAAACCAGCCATGTCACAGTGCAGATGCTGCTGGGTAGTTGGATGAAGGCAGGACAGTACAGCCTGTGTAGCCCCACCAATTGCGCGGTTTGCTCTGGACAGGTTTTTGTACCTCTCTGGGCTGGCTTCCTCCTGTCAGCGGTGAACAGGTTAACAGGAATCCTAGAATTTCAGGACAGTAAGTGCTAGCTGCCAGCACCATCTTTTGTTTTTGTATAATCTGTTTGGGAAATTATTTTAGTTAGGAAAAGTAAAGCAAAGTGTTTTCCTCCTTTCTCAGGCCACTCAGTCTACTTTCTGACAGCAGAATCTCACTAGCTGGGTGCCCACTAGCTCAGTTTAGTTCTGAAATGGATACCAGGGGGTAGCGTCAGGTCCTGTAGGCTCAGGGTCATTACAGTAAGACTGCCCCTACTTCAGCTGCCCCCCACAAACTGTGGGTTGTCATGTGTACCTATGACCTGAGTATGATAATGAGGGGTTCCCTTGACATGCCCACCTTGGGTTGATTAATTTTGCTGGAGCAGTTTGCTTATTTGCATTTTGTAATAAATGTTTACCCATGTTTTATGAAGGATATTTAAAAGGGCCAAAGGAACAGCCAGGTAAAAAGATGCTAAGTAAGAGGAGGTCTTTCTTCTGCTGCAGTTGGGGTACATCACCCTCTAGGCACATGAATGTATTCCTACTCACAGCTCTGGAAGCCCCCAGCCCCATCCTTTGGGGCTTAATGGAGGTTTCATTACACAGGCATGACTGATCACATCATTAGTCAACCTTCAGCCCCACTTCTTTTCCAGTAGGTGGGACAAGTGGGAGAGAAGTACAGATCTGCTGATGTCATTGGGGCCACTGAGTCACATGGCATCCCAGATTCAAGGGATAAAGAGACATCTCTCTCTTTTTTTTTCCTTTGAATTTTTTATTTCTTTCTTTTTTTTTTTATTATTTAAAGAGAAAAAAAGAAAGGAAATAAAATTAAAAAAACCAAAGCAGTAAAAGGGTACAAATAATACAGAATTTCAAGGAAAAAAATACAGTAAGATATCACTAGTTATTAGGTTACATATTGTCTCTTTGAAATAGTTGTCCAAATTATAAAATTAAAGCATGTAAAATGAACATTCATACAATGAGATTGCATATAATGCCGATCAGTGATCCAACAAAAGTTCAGTAATATGGATTTCCATCCTACACACTCAAACATACATACAGTTATATCCCTTAGACCATCTTCCTTTCCTCTCTTTTTAATAACAATTACACTTTTTGGGTTTTTTACTCCCACAATTCTTATTATTTTTTGGAGAGAATAAAACCTAACGTGGCTAAACCAAACAGAGTTGGTTAGAACAAAAGGATGGGCATAGTACATGATGTAAAAATAGAATATCAGGTGATCTAAAATGCTTACCATTGTGCCTCTTGCTATTTTTTTAAAAAGTTGCCTATATCGTCAGGTATAATAGAATTGATCAAAACAGTACAGAATAAGACCAATAAAACCTACACTGGAGACCTTACAGGACTTCAAAAAAAGATAATAGTCAAACCATAATGGGCGTCATAGTATATCTTATTGCCTTCAAAGTGGTTGCCTATACCCTCAAACTTGATACTGTCAAACAAACCAGAATATAGAATAATCAAAACAAGATGGGGAGAGCAATACTGGGGTGAGAGAGACATCTCTTGATGAGAGGAGGTAGACAGTGAAGATAAAAATAAAAATAAGATTCAGCTTTTGAAGTTTCTTACTTTTACTATAATCTCCATTCATTTGGATTACAGGGAAGAAAGTGAACTCCCAAAAAGAATAAGGTGTGTGCTAGGAGTAATGAAATAATTTAGTGATAACTCCAGCCTCCCAGGCTCACATCGTGGATTATCGGCTGTCTTCACTTTGCTTGTAGAGTCATTGGCTCCTATCACAGTCTATGCTGACCACACTGGGGCTCCCCAGTTCTCTGCCAGATGCTTCAGAAGTCCTAGGAAGAGCCTTCTCTCTATTCTATACTCACACCCTCCCCTGTCCCAAGTCTCTTTTCAAAAGAGTAACTGGAGCCATGCTTTACAAATGTTAGTCAAATTGGTACTCCTTGGCTCTGAATCGTTGGTAACTTCATGTACTCAAAAGTCCTTATAAGGACTTGCAGCTCTTCCTCTGTTCCACTGTTCTGCTGCAGTCTAGCCCTTCACTCCTGCCACAAGGACTACTTCTGCCTGTTTCCTCATCCTGCCAAGTGTGCTCAGCCACTGGGACTTGGCACCCTACAGTCTGCCTGGAGCTCACCTCCCTTACGTGTCCATATGGCTGCTTTCTGACCCCCAGTTTCCTTGTGGCTTGTTTGCTTACCTCTTAGGTTTTTGCTCAGTTGCTCCCTTACTGGCAAGGCATCCTTGACTTCCCTAGTCAGGATTCCACACCAACTGTTTTGGCTTCCCCATCTGCTTTCACCCTTGGTTTTGCTTACTTATTAATTTATGCAGTGCCTCCTTCCTACAGTGGAATCTTCCTCAGGGCAGTGATTGTTGTTTCTGTTGTTCATCCTTATATCCTGAGGGCCTAGAAGACTCCCTGATACAGACATTCTCCAGTGTTTTCTAAGTGCATAAATGAAACTTACTTTGTATCACTGTGGAGAATCAGTGAGCTCAGGGCCTGCAGGGTACAGCTCACTGCCTGTTTTTATAAAGAAAGTTTCATTGGATGTAGCCATTCACCAGTGTTCTACCTGTAGCTGCTTCTGCAATGTAATGACATAGTTGAGTGGTTCTAAGAGAGGCCTACATGCCTAAATATTTACTATCTGCCCCTGTACAGGAAAAGTTTGTTGATTCCTAAATTAGATGATGTAAACCGCACATGTAGCAGAGTGCCTAGTAGAGCAGACAATAAATGGTAACTGCTGCTGGGGGTGTTACAGTTCATGGTGATGGTGATGATGATGACACGCAATTGGCCAAAGATTGCTTTTTGTAGATACTACTTGCCCTGTGCCTGTTTGTAATACCAAGCTAGAATTCTTGTCTGTTTTTGATGGGCGTTCTGCCACAGTCTGAGGAGGTAAGTAACTAGTGCAGAGATGAGCTTGCCTGCGGAGGACCAGCTGTGACTGGGGAGAATGGAAGGTGTTTTTGCACCTCCTTTCTGTGTGTACACCAGCTGGTCAGGCCCAGCTGTATCTTAGCTGTGTTCCTCCCACTGCCTCTAGGTATTTCTGAGTAAATGGATGTATGTGTGGGGCTTAAATATTATAAGATGCCTTTTAGCATAATTTGTAATGACCTAATGTTTAAATGTCATAATTCATTTTTTTTTAATATTCCAGGGAATAATAAATCACAAAGGGAGGAGCTGGACTCTATTCTCTTTCTTTTTGAAGTAAGTTTTGGTTAATTCTTTTAGATTTCATGATTCTTGCACAAAATAAGGTATTTTAAGTGTTTTAATTCACTTAAAGACAAATAAACATGACTGAAATTAACATGTCCCCATCTGTGTCCTTCCCTACCTTCTTTCCTTTTATAAACCTTTCCTGTATGGATATCTTGCTGCAAGGTTTGCTGCATAGAAGAGTGTGCACATTTGGGTTTTTTTGGTACCAGGGATCAAGCTCACCATGACTGCGCACTTGCAAGGCAGGTGCTTATGCCGCTGAGCTAAATCCCCAGCCTGAACCTGTGGGTCTTATATAAATTTGCTATACTGGGGCTGGGGATTTAGCTCAGCGGCATAAGCGCCTGCCTTGCAAGCAGGCAGTCGTGAGTTCGATCCCTGGTACCGGTAAAAAGGAAAAAGACAAAAATAAATGAATAAATTTGCTATACCCTAACACAGCAGATAACTTGTCTTTTCGTGTATATAGACCTACTGAAATCAGAAACTCTTTTTTTTTTTTTAAAGATATTCTTGTGTTTTTCCAACTGCTGGTGAGGGTGTGATCTTTGTAAGTATATGTATGTGTCTGTGTGTTGATCACATACTCCCCTTAAAGCAGTGGCTGTTGATCCATTAGACCTGAAGTCTTTTTTTGTGTAAATGTGTTAGAGAGATGCCAGGTTATGGATACTTGGAGAGCTGCAAATTCTGAACCGAGTTGTAAATTCTGTGTTAGTTGTTGGTTGCTGAGGAGGTATTTGTGGTTCTCAGATTGGTGAGGGGACAGCCTCCTGGGATGAGGGGCTGTGCACTTGCTGCAGAGCTGGCTGAGGGTGCAGGGCCGGAGAGGGAGCGGGTTCAGGACAGTGGTCAGGGGCTGTTCAGTTTACAGAGAACAGGAAGCAGGAGAACAGGAAGCCGTGGAAGTTTCAGCCCAGGACTTTTCTCCCAGCCGGTGCCTGGTGACCCTGGTGTCCCCCTCTCTCCTCTGAGGCTGCACTCCCCGTCCTGAGTGACTGAGGCTAATTCATGGCCTATTTTGTGGTGGCTATTGTATTTCCTGTTGTTTTTCTTCCATGAATGAAACTTGGGCAAAAGAGTTGTTTAGAAACAGAAGCTTTAATTAAGTCTGGCACTTAGAAATCAATCTCCTGACCTTCACGTTTGCACTGTTCCATTCACTTTAATTGTTGCACTTCTGTGATGGAGAATGGGTTGCTAGTCTGGAATATGTGCTGGCGTGTGGAGCACTGGGGAAGTCTGTGCTCCTGATACCCCTCCCTGTTTTGAGAACCCCAAACTGCTTAAGTCTGCCCTACTTCCTTCCTCACTTCCAGGCAGCTGCTCCCTGGCGGTTCACCATCCTCTTTTAAAACAGGGAATTCTCATGTGTATTTGTATACCTAAATAATGCACTGTGTGGTTTTATTGGGTAGAAATGCTTTTCTATAGGGCATTATCACCTGTGACTTGTCTTTTACCCTCAGTGTTATTTCTAATATTTATCCATAGTTTTTGAATAGAATTCTAGTTCATTTATTCCCACTGCTGGATTAAATGAATACATGTGACTCCTTTAATTCCTGCATTTTATTTTAGGTATTTTTGGTTTTCTTGGCAGATAGGTAGATTTTTTGTGAATAATGAGTGGATAAGCTTGCCAGTGCTTCTGTTTTTTTTTTTTTTTTTTTTTTTTGTGTGTGTGTGTGTGTGTGTGTGTGTGTGTGTGTGTGTTCTGTGGTGCCTTGGACTCTATTACATCAGTAAGTAGAGCTGATGAAGGTGGTCTTCATGTTTCTGTTCTAAAGGGAGATTTGATTCATGTATCACTATTAAAAAACATTCTGCAGATTTTGTAGCTCTATCATACTTAATAAGTTTATATTTCTAGTTTGCTAAGATTTATGAAAGTATTATAGACAGATTTGATCTTTTGAAGTGTTTTAGTCATGCTCATCAGGGGAATCTAATGATTCTTCTTGGGTATGGAGGTGCTGCACTGCAGTTCTAGATTTTTGGGCAGGTTGATATTTTGTCGCAAATTTTGATTGTGTTCACATCTCAGGTTGGCTTTTCTTTCTTCATATTGTTTTTGATGGTCCTGCTGAAAAGATTGTAAGACCTGCTATAAAGTATTTCTTTTTCTTTTATAAAGATCTTTTTTGTTATTTGTGTGTGGGGAGGTGGTTCCAGGCCTCATGCAGACACCAGAATCTGTGAGTGCTCCAGTCTCTCTTCTATAAAATGAACTGTGTTTGAAGATGACTCATACATGTCCTCTGTGGTGCTGTTGACACTTTCTAGATCACTTAAAATACCTGCTGCTACATCAGTGCTGTGTAATAGTTGATATACTGTGTTGTTGGGTAATAACAATAAGGAGTAAATCTATACAACTCTCAACTATTGTCTTCTCACATATTTGCACTTTTCTACTCTTCTTGGCCATATTTTCTAAGATTCTTTGTTTGTCTTCCTCATCTCTGAAGCTTGATTTATGATTATCTCTTTATCAACTTTATTTTCTGCTCTCCATCTCTTTGTTTCATATTCTGGGAAATCTCTTTACTCCATCTTCTGGTTCCCTGTCTTCATTTGGATCGCACCTGCTACTTTGCCCATTTATTGAGCTGTAAATTTCAGTGATTTTTCTCCCCGTTTTAACAGCCCCTTTGGTTTGATATTCTTATGTAGTTTGTTGCTTTTGATATTACAAATTTTGCTGCTATGCACATAGGTACACATATATTGCTATGGTGTAATGTTTTTAATTCTTTTGGAAAGATACTAAGAAGAGGAATAGCTGGGTTGAATGGGACCTCTATTCCTAGTTTTTGAGGCATCTCCACACTGATTTCCATAGTTGCTGTACCAGTCCACATTCCCACCAACAGTGGAGAAGGGCTCCTTTTTTTCCCACAGCTCCACCAGCATTTGTTGATCCTTGATTTCTTGATAGTAGCCATTCTTTCTGGAGTGAGGTGGAATTTCAGTGTTGTTTTAATTTGCATCTCTTGAATGACCAGTGATGTTGAACATTTTTGCACATATTTATTTGCTGTTTGTATGTTTTCATCTGAGAAATGTGTTTTCATCTCAGATGCCCATTTTTGGATTGGGTCTTTAAATCTGGGAAGACTGAGTTTTGTGAGTTCCTTATATGTTCTCAATAGTAATCCTTTGAGGTACAGCTGGCAAACATTTTTTTCCCACATTGTGGGTTGTCTCTTCACTGTGTTGGTGGTTTCTCTTGCTGTGCCAAAGCTTTTCAATAAGGTGAGATCCCAGTTGTTGATTCTTTGTGATAGTTCATGTGCAATTGGGATTTTGTTCAGAAAGTCTTTGCCTACACCAATGTGTTTGACTTTTACCTACTCTATCTTCCAGAAGATTTAATGTTTCAACTTTGTAACTAGCTACATTACTGAATTTGCTTATTAAATATAGTAGAGTAACTATATACTCTTCTGTATACTCTTCTAAGTAGAGTATCATGTCATCTGCAAATAATGACAGTTTAACTTCTTCCTTTCTTATCTTTATTCCTTTTATTTCTTTCTCTTGTCTAATTTCTCCAGCTAAAGTTTCCAGGACTATGTTGAATAAGAGTGGAGACAGTCCTTGTCTTATTCTTAACATTAGAGAGAAAGTTTTCAGTTTTTGTCTATTTAATGATGTTGGCTGTTGGTTTGTTATTATATGGCTTTTATCAGATTGAGATAAAGACTATTCCAACTTTCTGTAGGGTTTTTATCATGAATGGGTGCTGGGCTTTGTCAAAACCTTTTGCCACATCTATTGAGATGATCCCATGATTTTTGTCCTTGGCTCTGTTAATATGGTGTATTACATTTATGGATTTACATATGTTGAACCATCCCTGCATCCCTGGGATGAATTCCACTTGATCGTGGCCTATAATCTTCTTGACAGTTTGTTGCAGTCTGTTTGCCAGTATCTTATTGAGGATTTTTGCATCAATGTTCATTAGAGAGATTGGCCTATTATTCTCTTTCTTAGTTGGGTCCTTTTCTAGTTTTGGTATGATTTTCCAGGAATGATTTTGGAACTATTGTTTCCCTTTCAATTTCATTAGCGTTTAAGAAGTGGTGATATTAGGTCTTCTCTAAATTTCTTGTAGAATTCAACAGTGAATCCCTCAGGCCTAGGTTTTCTTTGTTGATAGATTTTTAATTACATCTTTGACTTCATTGATTGATATTGGGTTCAGGATTTTTATATCTTCTTGATTCTGCTTTGTTAATTCATATATATTTAGGAACCTGTCCATTTTTTCTGTATTTTCCATCTTACTAGAATACAAGTTTTCAGAGTAGGTATAAATGATTTTCTAGATTTCTATAGGGTCTGTTGTGATTTTACCCTTTTCATTCCTAATTGCGTGGATTTGAGTCTTTTCTTTCCTTTTTTTTTTTTTTTTGATAAGTTTAGCTAAGAGTCTGTCAATTGTATTAATCTTTCAAAGAATCAACGCTTCAGTTCATTCTTTGTATTTTTTTTTAGTCTCCAGTGTGTTGATTTCTGCTCTGATGTTTATAATTTCCCCCCTCACATGAATGTTTTGGTTTAGACTGCTCTTCTTTTTCTACAGGTTTGAGATTCAACATTAAGTTGTTTATATGCACTCGCTCTGTTCTCATATGGATACTTACTGCAATAAATTGCCCTCTTAAGATTGCTTTCACTGTGTCCCACAAGTTCCAGTATGTTGTATTGTCATTATCAATCAACTGTAAAAACTTGTCCCATTTCTTCTTTAATTTCATCTGTGACCCATTGATTGTTCAATATGGTGCTATTTAATTTCCATGTGTTTATAAAGTTCTTGTGGTTTCTTTTGTTTATATTTCCAATTTCATTGCACTGTGATCTGATAGTATTCATGGGATAATTTCAATTCCTTTATATTTACTTAAGCATGTTCTATGAGCCACTATGTGATCTGTTTTGGAGAACATCCTGTGTGCAGCTGAGAAGAATGT